TACAAATTTATTTTTATAGTAACTAAAAAATAATAGTAATTTTGAAATCTTCTGTACTCAAAATACTTAAAAGAATAATAATAATAATTTTGAAATCTTTTGTACTCAAATTACTCAAAATAATAATAATAATTTTAAAATCTTCTATACTCAAATTTTTAGGTACGGTAGTATCTTTGTAATTTTCAGCATCATGTCAATATTTATTTTATATATACTAGGTAAATTTTCTTTAAAAAATTTATAATGTATTTATTTAGGCTTATAATATTTTAGATACTTTTATATAATATTTTATCATGTCATATTCAGAAAACATCTTTCATACAAATGTAAACTTTATTTTTTTTTGATAAAAATTTTTTACAAAATAATTTAAAAAAAATTAGGTGACTTCACATCTTTTAATAATAATATAGAAATTTTAGATAATTTTACATATGTTAATATATATTTTAGGAGTTTTTAATTGTCTAAACATACAAATTTTATGTTCTCTTGAACAAGCTAATTTTATATCGTTTATAATAAACTGATATACAGTAAATTATATGATATGTTAACCCCGCATCGTTAATTTATAAATATTATTTAATATCGTTTACCTCATTTTTAATTTATAATATATTTCTTGCTCTTTTAAGAAAAGATCAATAGTGATTCCCCACTTCTTTCATTGGGTGACTTGAACTCGATACTTATTTATAATTATTATTTAATATTGTTTATCCGTGCATCACACGAGATATGCACTAGTATGTTTTCAACACAACTCACCTCCCCCATATTTTTAATTATCAATAGTTCTTAATTATTTTATTATTTTTATATCACCATCAACATAATGATTACATCTTATATTTTCACTTTCGTTTACCACAATAATTTCTCCTGCAGATTTTTTTCTACTTTGTTGATCACTTTTATATTGTTATTCTAAGGTAAATTAAAGAAGTTTTATAGGTGTAGCCTATCTACGGAACGTTTCCAACTCGTGATTGGAGTGCCGTCTTTCCATTGTACCAAAAAAAAAAAAAAAAAAAAGAAGTTAATAAATATTCCAAGAGAAAAACATGTGGACCCACTTGTGTAGTCAAATTTAAGACTCGTCAAAATATTATTATTATTATTTTTTTGTGTAAGAAAGGAGGCTACGCAGCGCAGAGCCTAGACTAGAATCGACCGAGAATAAGACACGTCGACACTATCATGATGTAACTAAACATTCGCCCCTGGCGGAGGGCTCGCCATGAAGACCACCTGGAAACTTAGAAGCCAAAGAAGCCAAATAATCAACTACAAAATTAGTCTTCCTATAGCCATGACTAACCTCCACTGCCCATGATCGACCCAACAACTCCTTGATACATAAAATTACTAATTTTCACGCTCTGGGGATTAATTTCAAAAGGCTACATAATTATAAATCATTACTGAACCGATCTAGAAACTCCAAATTTCTTAACCAATAGTTATATTTCACATGGCCAATAGATCTTTTCAAAGGGCAGAATTTCAACCATAGCCATAGCTACGTGAATTAGGTAAAACTGCCCCCAAGATAAAGCGCTTAACAAATTTGTGTATAAATACATTACTCGATCTCCATTCACCTTCAACTCATCACTCACAACTTATATATTTATTCTTGCAACTTGATTGTATAATTAATCAACCAAAAAAAAAATTTAACCTCCAATGGCTTCTTCTCCTTCTTACAAAGCTATCATCATCACCACACTAGCAATCCTATTCGTGTTCCTAAGGAGCTCCAAAGCTGATCTTTCGAGCGATGTTCGGAAAGTATATCCTAAATGTCCGCAACTTTTCGACATTGTGGGAAGTGTCATGGAACAAGAAATTCAAAAGGATCCACGAACAGGCGCCTCTTTACTTCGCTTGCATTTCCACGATTGTTTTGTCGGTGTAAGCAAATTTTCGTTTATATATATATATATATATATATATATTCGCCATTTTCTTTCTTGTTTATCGTTTCATCTACGCATGAAGCTATTCTAAAACAGGGCAAATTAGTCATACATAGCATGCATGATTACTATATAAAGTTTTCGTTTGACTTGTGGGCATTGATTTTGATTTTCTGACAATAACTTTGATTAATGATTTTATCGACATTAATTAATCAAAATGTACCTCAATCTCATTAATTAGATGGTATATATTCATCTTCTATTTTTCAACTATTTTTCTTTTCTTTTTTTTAATACTTAATTAGGGATGCGATGCATCAGTCCTTCTAAAAGACACATCGACTTTCACGGGAGAGCAATCCGCGACTCCCAATAAGAACTCCATTAGAAAACTTGAAGTAATCGACCAAATCAAGTCGGTGGTAGAGAACGCATGCCCAGGATTGGTCTCTTGTGCTGATATCTTGGCCATTGCTGCTCGGGATGCTATTAAAATCGTAAGCTATCTAACAAAAAATAAACTATAGGCGAACTTTTTTGTTTGAACAATGTTTCTTTGGATAGATCATTTTACATAAACATTGTTCGATACAGCTAACACATATTTTTATAGTTAGAATTAAAACACTAACTGATGAATGATATGAAAATTTTACAGCTTAGCTACTATCAACTTCGTTACGATGTGGAGATCGGACGATTAGACTCCAAAACCGCAAACAGAACTGCAGCAAATAACTTGATTCCTCCTCCGACTTCGAATATCGATGCCCTTATCAACAACTTCAAAAACCATGGCCTTAACGAAACGGACCTTGTTCTTCTCTCAGGTTCGATTCTTCTATAAATAAGGTCCATTTTTTCTTTCTTATTTTTTTTTTTTGTGCTAAACTTGATCTTAATTCGCGGTAATTTTATATGTATATATATAGGTGCTCACACGATTGGGCAAGCAAGATGCACGAGCTTCAAGGGTCGGTTATACAACGAGACCAACAGCCTCGACGAAACATTCGCCAAATATCTACGCAAAAACTGCTCGCCAGATGATAATAAAACCGGAAACAACACGGCCAATTTGGATTACCAAACGCCATCCACTTTTGACAATAGGTATTACCAAAACATCATCGACAAGAAGGATCTCCTCCACTCGGATCACCAATTGCTCAATAACAGTGTCACCGTAAATCTCGTTAAAAAATATAGCAATGATATCAATGAATTTTACCAAGCTTTCGGTCAAGCGATGATCAAAATGGGCCGCCTTAACGGTACCACAGGAGAGAAGAAGAAGAAGGAGATGGAGATAAGGAAAGTGTGTTCGAAGCGGAATTAGAAAGTTCCATATCATACTTATACTTAATCTTCGGTTTTGGAGTTTGTGTCTGTGTTTCTTGTTTTGAGTTGTGCCCTTTTTTTCAACAATTGTTTGTAACAGTTGTCATGTGTGTGTTGTTGTACTCTGTTTTTATGATTAAAACATGAATAAAAGTTTTTGTTTTGTGTAATGTCTCTGCATGGAATGTATGTAAAATTATGACTTTAAAATGAACAATATAATTCAGTAGGAAGAGAGCATTAAGTGATATATGGGCCGGGGATGAATGCCCAAATAACATTCTTATTAAAAAATAAAAAAAGTTTGTCCAAATATGTGAGTAAACAAACTTTTATTAGCACAAAGTTGCAACAATTTTCAACATCACGTATCATCAAATGGTGGACTTTACATGTATTCTAGTATTCTAGTTAAAATGTTTCCCTATCTACGGTGGACACATGTTAATATGCCACATAATTAAACGATGGACATATTAACATGTGCCCACCGTCAGTAGGGGAGCATTACTGTCTAGTTAAATTGAGGCATCCAAGTTTAGAGACGGCGAAGTGTCGGGCCAGGCTCGTCTGCACCTAGCCCACCAAATCAAAGGTTGTAGTCCAGTCACTAATTGGGCCAATCAGGCTATTTCTGCCTTGCATGTAATTAGGCCAAGCCCAGTCACTCTTCATATGGGTTACGTTGGGCCGGCCCGCGATTTATATTTCTTTGGTCAGCATAACATGACTTTGATAAATGAACTATCATAATTGATTACAACCTAATTAATACCTATTTTTTTTTTTTTTCTTAAGTTGTCTCTTGAATATTGATATTAATAGTCTTGTCGATGTATAAAAATATATAAACTAAAATTCATGAATGAATCGACTTTTGGCCACAAGGGCTTTTCATATGCATGCATAATTTATCAGTAAAAACACATAAATATTCTCGATTCTTATTATTTGTTTTTGTTGACCAAATCCAGATTACGTACGCTTATACTATCGATCACAGCTACAAATGCCTGGCAAACCGCTTGGAGTATTTATTATTTATATATTCAATTGAATTTAAAAAGTATAAAAAGAGAAAAATTGAAACAAAATGAAATTGGGATGGATAGGTTAAGTCTTTGGCCCTTATAATAATAATAATAATAATAATAATAATAATAATAATAA